TCATCATAATCACATACAATTAAGTACATGTTATATATTATTATTCTATTATTGGAAAGGTACACACGTAGTACGACGATTTTTTAGGCCCCGTCTCCCCTCCACTTTGAAGTAATTGCAATCGTTACATGTATACGGGCCTATATCAAGTTATATCAGAAAAATTTGCGATGTTGTTTAAATTAGCAAATACATATAAACATTGCACAGTAAATTGTAAGTGACGTTTCCAATTCTCATGAAAATCGTAAATGAAGCAACTTTGAGTTTTGCATGAATTGATACATAACTTATAATTGCATTGTACTGAATGTATTCCTTTTATTTCCTCGAATTAGAATATCACTATGACACGATTTTACGGGTACATGATGGAACTAAATACATGCTGTTTTACACGGAGGAGCCCCCAAAATATATACATTCCGAGCTTTCAGAATACGAGAGAAAAAACAATGAATAATTAGAAATTTTTTTAACAAATTCAAAATTGTTTCTGAGAAAGCCATGTAGTTGCATACAAATATTCCAAGCCATTCGTTCGTGTTTATTGGACTAAAAGAGATAATTAAATTTCCCCTCATCGCGATACGTAACCCCCCTTCCCTCAAATGATACGTTTTCCTTCAGAGTCGAGAATGTCAGTTGGTTAGTTTGTTCAGGTACGTACAGGTCAGGACTGGTGTTGAAATCCATGATTAATCCATAACCTATTAAAATGTTAACCAACAATCATACGCGACTTTTTTTATTCACAGGTCGTCAAATAAATGAAAAAAAAGATTAGTATGCGTCACTAAACTTACCCATATATAAACGTTTTAATTTCTAAAATTTGTGCCGATTAGAGTGTTCATTCGAGCATCGAAGTGTGTACATGTATTAGTTTCTTTTGGTAAAGGGGGGGGGGAGTTTTTACTGCGTTTGATTACCGGAATTTTGCAATGCTTTTCCGACACTTAATAATTTCATTTCTAACATTCATTACTTTCATTCTGGATTTTTACACTATATTTCAAGCTATTTAAAGTTAACAAAGAAGATGGAAGCATTATTTTAATAGAATATATTTGGTTAAATTAACACAAGTGAACTTGTGATGAAAATTTATTAAACGAAAGTCAAGCAATAAAAAGTTTGTTTTTTTGAAAAATAAATCAAATCAAGTCACAGAAAACAAAGACAGGTTGTAAAGCTCACACACAGACACACACACAAACGTTTTGGTAACTCGGAATAGTCCAGAGTAAAACTATATTTTCTTGATGACAGAATGTCCAGTACATCTAATGTTCACGTCCGAGATAGTCCACGGCGGATCTAAAAACTCTCTCACACAACATACGGGATTCACTCAAATTTCAATTAACACATTTACGCAATTTATTTCATACATACAAGTCAGACGCTCTTTGATGTAGAGGATTGACACTAATTTCTTAGAGAAATACTTAGTGTAAAATTCCTTTTTACTATTTAAACTCAAATTGATAGGTTAATAACTTAAGCATATGTCAAAAATAAGCATTGAAAATAATTCTTTTTACAAAATTAAATTTTGTTTAAACAATATAAATCACTAGCAGCGCAAAGACAGACTTTAAAAAAAATTCAGAGGTGGAATCAGGCGAATTAAATCCTTTTTGGCACTACCAACCCCGTAACGAGACATATCATCGAAATGACCGGTCTCCACGTCTTGAACCTCCAAGAACATGTATTGCATGTTCTTGAATAATATGTATTAATAAGTCTTTTAGGAGATCTCATATTGGAAACCTGATTTATATTCTAATATATTCTATTTTTTTTAATTATAAGTACTTCTCAATCTATCATGTTCAAATTACATGTATTTATTTTTTAGGGAACATTAAACCTTATTCGTCAGCCAGTCTGTCCATCTGTCACGAAAACTTTAAACTTGATAATAACTATTGAATGAGTTGAAATAAGACTTTGATATTTCACATGTGCATTATTTGTGACATCTGATTTTCAAATATACTGTGATTTTTGACCCTGTGACCTTGATCTTGGAGCTTGACCTACTTAAAAAAATAATATTACTTTAAATTGACCATAACTTTTGAAAGCTTCCATTTTATAAAAATGTATTAACTGTAACAACACCTTTTAAAATTCACTGATTTTTTACCCTTTGACCTTGAAGTTTGACCTGCTTTTCAAAAACATTAACAATGCTCATACCTTTTGACTGAGAAGAGATAGGGCTTTTATTTTATTCCTATGAATTACCTATGACAACTATTTTTTAAATACACTGACTTTTGACAACTTGACCTTGAGGCTTGATCATAACTTTTTTAATGAGGAGAGATAGGGCTTTCATATTACACAAACATCACAATGTCATGTACGTAACCTGTGATAAAATCATATCAAATACTAGTATATCATGAACTTTGACCTTGAAGTTTATCCGGCTTTTCCAAGATTTAAACATTGCTTAAAATTGACCATAACTTTTTACACATGTATAGTAGCTGTGACAAGGCCTATCTAAAAAAAAAGGTATGGCTTATATGATGGAGAGTGTATTATGGCCTTGAATCAAGGTCATTTAGGATAAGATATTTTGACTGGATGCATTGTTTGAAAAAAACCTGTTTGAATTTGTCAATACAGTACCACACAAATGGAGTATGCTCATCACCATCTTGTGTCATGGTGTGACCCAAGGTCATTTTGACAAGGTCAAGGTCGCAAACATTCCTTTACTATCACTTTTTAAATAGTAAAACATTATTAGATGATAACTACCCTTAAAAGATTGCTTTATCATTAGAACGTGGCATGACATTGACTCAAGGTCATTTCTCTCTGTCCGTAGCTCCGACGGAAGACCTACTTGTTGCTTTGCAACGAGCTCGGCTCTAGTTAAAATTAACATTTGCAATCATTATCTTTTTTATATAATTTTATTAAGCATGATGTATAAAGTTATAAATCATTAAATGGAGTATTCTTAAGTTAACGTTGGATCGTATATTCGTCTCCTCGTAAATCATCTAGATTTATCCTCGGATCGTACATTCGTCTCCTCGGAAGAGATCTAGGTATATCCTCATGTTTTAAATAAACTATTGATAGCATGTACACAAAGACAGACAGTGCATTATATTGTTTCGTTATTTTCCCAAGGAAACTTACTGTGATCTCCTCTCACCATACATACAAACATTTTAGCACAAAGTGTTGTTTATAGAATTTCTATCCGTAATCCAAAAAATAAGGGGCAAATATATTTTCCTAGGACGGTCGGTCCAGTTGTCTGTTTGTTTTTTTAAATTTTTTTCCCTGATTTATCTGTAATTGGTAAATCAATTAGCCCTGACTACAGCCTTTAATTGGTTTGAGCTATGAATTTCATATTTCACAAGTTTTTTCTTTATTTTGACGGTCAATTACGAATTTGGAATTTGAGCCTTGTTCATATGAACAATGGCTTTAATATTTCACTGGTGTATTCAACGTGTAAAAACTTTTCCTAGGGTAAAAGTATTTTTGACTTTGATCTTTATGTTTGACTTACTTTTAAAGAAATTTTCAAAATTTTAGTCTTAGCCATAGCTACTACCAGTTAAATCAAGTGATATCATACTCCTCACGCTTATATTTTGATAAGACCTTCTCTTCAGTACAAACAGTAATGACCTTTAACCTTGTTCTTATGGATTTGACCTACTTTTCAAAAACGTAAACTTTGGACATATATACTGAATATTTTGTGCTAGGGGTTAACTATTTTACGGGTTCATTTCTTCTGGTAAAAGCTTCTCTTGAATACCAATATTTTCTCTTTACATCTTTATCCTTTTATTTGGACATCAGACTTTGACCACCTTTTGAAAAAACTTTGGTGATAACTTTTGAATGGTTGATTTCGTGACTTTTATATTTCACCTGTGTATTCTTTCTGAAATTCTTTTGGGCATCATTAATATTGACTCCTTGACCTTGTCCAGTTTGACCTACTTTTGAAAATCTCTAACTTTGGTCATAATTACTGAACTGTTGCTGCTTTTACGGTTTTTATTTTAGAAGGTAGACTCATTGTGAGGAACGTTTCTTTTGGTACCAAAACTACTTTTATATTGACCTTGGTGTTTGACCTGCAAACGACAGCATTTATCATAAGCCTCTTTGTTTCACAAACTTTTCTTGAATTTTTATCATTAGCTCCTATAACTTTTCCTATTGATTTAATAACAAATTTCAAGTTGTAGTCTATCAAATTTTTGGATATACTAGTATATAAACCATCGTATACACATTGCATAAAGGAGAATGACTTGTCACACATATTGAATCATTTTTTAAAGATGTAGTCTCATAATTACAAAAGTTTTAGCAAACATATTGATTAATGTTAGCTTGCTTTTTATTTGCAAAGGCAGTTGTAAATATAAGATAACATCTTTCAAAAAATAATGAATCGGTGCTCAATTTTTTTCTAACTCCTTGTCTTGTTTTGCAAATTTGATTTTTTTTTAACTTACTTGAATTATCTCTAACCTAAATAATGAATTTAAATGATCTCAAATTTTGCTTTTAAGATTTGTGACGTCAAAATAAAACGCGTATTACACATGTAACCTTTTAATCCCCGATCTGTGTTATGGTATTTTGAAATAAAAAAAAAACACAATAAAAAATTACAGTTGATTTAAAAGAATATATATATCTTAACATCTTTATTACAATGAAACTTGTCTTATCCGACATGCACGGGGAACAGATTAAAAATATATGTGTTGAAATAAACAAGATGTAGAATTGCAGCGTGTAAAGATCATTGAGATAATTATAAATGACAAATGAAATTAAATGGCTGAAATCACAGTAAAGAGTATTGCATGTGTCGGATTAAACAGGTTCCACTGTAATAGGTTTAACAAAAAAGTAATCTTCATCCTAATTCTCCGTCCAGTTATCTCCATTTATCAGTGTTTGGAAAAAAGAACGAAATATTTCTATTTTCAAATTTATTACAACACATATAAAATACATCTTTTACTGAATACATCCAGTATCGCTTTACAGAGCCGTTCAACCACCTTCTTTTACTGTTTGTTACTTGATGTTAAATATTAAAAAAAAGAACTCAGCGATAAAAATTAATTTAAAATCTTCTCTTGGGTGTTTCCGTAATCCATGGATGATCTTTCGTCTGTTAAAAAAAAAATTAAAATTAATACTTCACAGATAAATGTATGATAGCATATTTTTTCTATTAAAAAACAACTTTTATAACTGAAAATTTCAGAGTGATACAAAAAGAAAAAAAATGGATATTAAGATGTAATGATGTTTACCTAGTTCCGTCTGATCATCATGGTGGTCCCCTTCACTGACGTCCCACTCCTTACTGTGGGATACCATGGCCAGGACCAGTCTCCCGGGGACCAGGGACCGTTAAGGAAGGCCTGGTGACAGTCATTGAACCACCAGCCTCCTCTCTTGAGAGCAGCACAGTTACCAGCACCTACGTCATTGTCTCTGTCTGGGGTACTGAAGTACATCCCATACAGATTACCACCAGAATAACCGGTGTTCAACATACTGTCTCCTGTAGAATTAAAAAAAGAAAAATATACATGGACACTTGTTTAAAATAGATCAGTAGATTTATATCCACTATACTCGTCGTGACCTCTGTCTGGGTGGAGAAGAACATCCCAGACAGATCGTGGTAAAATAAAACCTGTATTTAACATACTGTCCCCTGTAAAATCAAACAAAAAGAATCACAAAGTTAATTGATTTATATATTTTTAATCTAATTGTCAATAATAATACTGAGGTACTTCTAAGATAGACGGCTTTAGGTGCTGGGTAGAGCGATAATATTTATTTAGTTCAGCCGTAGAATCCCTGGTGTTTATCATACTGGCATCTGCAGAATTAGAGAAAATATATAACAGAGATAATAATTATTAATTTACATCACATTAATCTTAATAATGAAGTACGTCTGAAATACATTGTTTAACGTGTTGTGTCCTGTACGGAGAGATAAAAATAATACAAGACAACAAAACACTACACAATTCACATAGCATCCAAAATAATACAAGACAACAAAACACTACACAATTCACAGAGCATCCTTTCTAGTGTAACAGTAAACAACAGACGGGTTACACTGTGGGGGGGGGGGGTTAAAGGTCATTTGAAATTTTAGAAAATATGTAAAAATGAAATTTTAATATTTGTCCGAGAACGTGCCTTCAAACATGTATAACATGCAATACTAAGTAAATCATTAATAACGAGATAAGATATGGTGTATCTGTGAATGTTATAAGATGGTAGATTTCCTATTATATAAATGGAAATGTGAAACGCGTTGAGGTCTTTTGAATTTGGCTTTTTAAGCTTTTTTAATTTGAATATTTATCCAATCAAAATTTTTTAATCATCAAATTTTTGCAAACCTTTAGACATTTTAGATTAATGACGCACTGTAAACTTCCTATTCCGTAGCAGTAAAAAATGTGAATCATTGAAAATCAGACTATCATGCTCTTTAAACTTTTTCCGTATTAGTTAAAATGTGAATTATCAAAAATTATCAGGAAACCCAAGCTGAATAACATTGTTGAAAAAATGTTATTATTGAATTTGTCTGTTAAAAAACAACATAATTTTCATTGTACATAAAATGTATTATTAGAAATTTTATCTATTTGACAGTAACAAATTCAATATCTGCTGAATATGTGAATTCTACCTGCAAATGATATTCTTAAATATTAAACGTGTTTAATTAGCGTGGAATCAAAAACGTAAACAGAATATAAAAAACCACACATCTCTCTTTTTTCAAGAACTTTATAATCTGTCAATACAGAAAAGAATAATTATGATAATATGCGTAATTTGAACCTAATTTAAAGAACTGAACATGAATATACAGACCTAAAGTTCCAGTGGCAGGTCCTGCAAGAAAGAGCTGATATTTTCCTGCTTCGTCGGAGACAGAGAATCGGTCGTACATTTCATACAGAGTTGTACCATCCTGGAGAGTGATGGACACATACAGGGATGAGGTGTTTTCTTTCGTTAATTTATGGATTACGTCATTCCCTGTATTAAGATATATTTGAAATCATCTGAAAAGTTCATCGAATACAATTAATTCTTTTTAAATCTATATGGAATCTACCCTAATGAAAAATCAGATTATTTTCCATAGCTGTAGACATTGCTAAATTTTGTCTCATTAGAATATGCCGCTAAATGATATTCTTCTTTTCTATTTTTTTTTATTATTTGAAATATCAATTAAACACGATATCTGAATATCACAGAACACACATTACCTGGTCTTAACTTTAGATCTTTATTACGCATTATAATTTTTTACTTGCCACAAGAATTTTTTTTTATCTTAAAACTTTGAAGGAATAAAAAGTTCTTATTTGAAACCGATTTACACTTACCAATCCAGACGTTCTGTGCTGGTGAACCAAAACCATTTTTATATTCCGTCCAGGTCCTGTTAAATCTCACGGATCCGTCTACGCGTTTCTGAATTGCCTGTAAAAATTCACATAAATTACATTTCAATTTATTGCTTCGAACACTCGTAGGATCCATTTTTTATGATATAAATTACAATACAATCCTACAATCCTTAAAACTACCAAAACAAGGTGTCTTATATTAAGTACTTTTAATTATAAAAATAAAAAAACCTACCGTCCATCCACCGCCCATTGTGGTCATGTCGCAGTAGACACTTATTGGAATGGTTAATGTTCTGTAGGGGTATATATCATACACCCCTGTAGTAGTTTGTCCTTCTTCACAAAGATCTTTACAATCTTTAGGCATGGCAGAAAAAACACAATCTTAAAAACAAAAAATTCCGGGATCAGATCATGTTTATGTACAAGAGGTGAGGGGATATATAATGCCTGCAGGATACATAAATGTTAATTGTGGAAACAAAAGTGTACAATGCGTATTATATTATACTGTTCCTCATTATCTAAAAATCATTTTTGTTTACTTATTGAAACAAATTAAATACAATCATTTTCAGTACTCTCTTGATTGAAATTCTGCTAAATGGTCTTTCAACAAGATATATATATCGTACATAATCAATGTCTGAAAAGTGATAACTGATATCATTTTATATTTCACTATTGTTTAGGTATCGATTTTATCGAAGTTCATATGTTGTCATGAATTTTCATAAACGTTTTTTTTGAAATTGCAATTTAAAATTTAACAATGAATGGTGTTCTGTTTTTAATTTAGTTAATGCTTGTTATGTTATGATGTTGTACAATGTTTTTTGTTAGCTACATATGTATCTTTTGAATATGTAATTTTGATATATATATATTCCTTCATGAGCTCAAACTGAATGAAATTGGAAATCTGCAATTTTGTAAAATTCAAAGCGAAAATTTATCTAACTCGAAGACATTATTAAGAATTTATTGATTTATTTCAACTTTGATATTTAAGCCTCTAAATGTTAATACACTAAGAAGGTCATTATTATATTTACTTTTGACCCAGTTAACGTACATTTGTTAGATACAAAAATATCATAGAATTCTATAAGGATACTTTTAAGCGTGTTAAAAACTTTTTAAAAATGAAAAGTACTTATGATAGATGTTCAAAAAGAATCGTAATACGTTGTGAAAATGACATAGGCGTCAAGACCTGAGGGAGGGCGGGCTTAACCATTATATAGACAGTGGTTATTTGGATTTACCTTTTTTGTTGAATTGCTCCCACCACTAACACACACACTTTCGATTTACCCCCCCCCCCACTTTCAATTTGCTTCTGACGCCCATGAAAAGTGATTGGTGAATTTCTTTAAGGAAAGGAAATTATAAGTTGTAAAACGTCGTTTCCAATCCTGTTTGTATTTTTTTATACATGATGTCTAATTTCAATATTTAAAACTAAAATGGTGAATAGCTAATGTTGCACATGAATCTTTATTATTGTAACTTAAAAAGGCAAGTGGTCCTTGGGCATGTTGAAATAATGCTAAATCTGCACATAGAGAAGGAAACAAATCGGGTGTAATGTTAAAGCCTTCAGTTAACAAGTCGGGTGTAATATTTATGATAAAATAAAGTTTAAGCGTCATGCTATCGTCTTTCTGAAACTCTAACATCACATGTTTTTGAGGTTTGAGAAAAATATACTCAACAAAAAAAGAAACGGATATTGTTTTACTCGTCAAAGAAATTTTAAAACTGTACATGAAACAACTATTTTTTATATCATTTTTTACCTATTTAAAGGAAAAAAATCCCAAGTGTAAATTGTTCCCTTGAATAAACATGTTTATGAAAGTAGTGTTTTTCATGATTTCTTTAAATCGGATGTCTATTTTCATTGATAGGATTTAGATATATATATATTCTATTACCCATAATTTTTTTGAACACAGCAATGCCACGCCCAGAAAAGATGAATACTAACTGTTAACGATGTACTAAATGGAGCTTGTGCAACTGTATTTGAAATAAATCAATAGGCAACCTTAAAACATTATAATTTCTGTTCTAGGTAACCACAACCCGGCAAAAGACCAACACCCCCCCCCCCTTCATCAAATGCGATTCAGAAACCATAAAAACTGCTGCTACAATGCTGGATGAAAAAATCAGCATAAAAATGCATAAATTGTGCAATTTTGAAATGAGATGATATTCCTCCACGATATCCGTAATTGGAAACCAACTAGCAATTTGCAGAGTACATATTGTTATGTTGAATTTGGGGGCAACGAAAATGGCATTAACTTGACCTTTCAATTTGCAACATTGATTTTTATCACAACACACTCTAAAATCGCTTAAATAATATAAGGTTTAAACTGAAAACTTAGAATTTCATATTATTCTGATTATGCGTTTCTTTATTTGTTCAGTATATATTCGTTTATGAGGACTTGATTCCGTGGTTAAAGAATTGTTTAATAGTAGTATAGTTGGAAAAATGATATTATGATAGACATACATTCGTGGGTCTTTCATTTTATACCTATTTAACTACATTGTGTTGTTCACTAGGTAAGCAAAGACGTAATGAAATAATGTACATGTAATTTTAAAAGCAGTTACAGCATAAATATGTTACCTTAAGTAAGAACGTCAACTGTTACAGGTCAAGTTGGATGCAGGAAATAATTAAAAAGAAATATTTTCTTGTTTGAAATATCTTGAAATAAACTTGACTGTCAATACAACTTAGCATACGCAAGCAACTTGATTTGCGGTTAATATCACTGTATTTATAAAGTTGCCGTGAATAGAAAACTGTTTTACATTAACGGTCTGAAACTTTTATTTTTTTCGATGAGGCATATCTTTCGTTATGCTAGATTACAGAAAGTAAATTAAAAACAATGCTAAGTTTTTAACACAGAAGCCAGTCGAACAGATGATAGCTAATGTTATCATTTTGTACTATTTCTGTTAATGGATACGAAGTACAGACGTTACATTATTGAATTATTTCTGTATCTAGGTAAGGCAGAGAACTGCGTGCAAAAGGACGAAAGAGAAAGTCGGCTGCCACTGAAGAGAAACCATAAAAAGCCACATGGGGTACTATCACAATCCGTCAGCCAGGGATGGATTGTGAGATTTCAGTATTAAATCCTTAAGTAAAAAGCCAGGGGTTTTGCAGGGATCGTGTATACAAAAGAGAATCATATGCTTTGGAGTGTTTTTTTTGTTAAATTATACATTATAAACCAGTGTTTATTGTAACGGGAACCGTTACATATGTTCCTCAAATGCCGCCAACTCCCTTTATTGTGCCTAATACCTGTAAGACATTTTTTAAAATACGATCAGTATCGAAGGATTTCCTCAAAGAGTTATAAAAGGTGTAATGCTATCAACCCTGTCATTTAACACATTGTGTGTGCACGCACATGCATGCAGATGTAAGATGATCATGGCAAGTTGTCTAAAGCATTAACACATATATTTCCTGAGAATCAATAAAACAGTCCTTAAAATAAAAATGTTACTGTTTTTCAAATATATTGTTCATTTTGCATTTTTGACAACGCACGTACATCCTTGCATGTTCCTTCATTCAATTTTGATTGTACCATAATGTAGGGTTTCCTTATACCTATTCACATTCTAAATGTAATCCCGTTTTGGTGAGAACCAAGAAAGTAATAGGCATTCAAAGATTCAGCCAATCAAATTGCAGGAAACGTGAATGCGCATGCTTTCATGATAATTCTTACATATCATGTTGTAGACCTTCACACTACATGACTATGTTCAAAATTTCTCGCATTTTTCTTTTTTACGCAACATGTGTACAATCGCAATATGTCGCCCCCGAATTCGTTCAGGGCGACATAATAATAAGAAGAAACGGAGTAAAAACAATATGATTCCCGTACAGTCTTTGAGATACAGTTTATATATATTCTCATATGTATTATATTATATAATGAAAACAATATATAACGCTTGTGAAATTATTGCATAAATGGTATATAAAATCAACAAAGAAAACATTGATGTACCCATTAATTGTCAAAAACAATTACTGGAAATAAGTCTTGATAATCAAACCGCTTCGATTTTTTGATAAAGACATGTGTCTGAATGATGGATCCTATAGTGGAGATGATTTACAGAGAGTTTTTAAGATAATAACACGAAAACGATATACTTTTAAACTTTTTCAATTCCTACAGTAAGTTTTGGCAGTAAATATAGATTATAATTAGACACACGGGTAACCTATCAGCAAAAAAAAATATATATTACTTAATGAATATAAAATAACAAACCGTGTAACGTTTTTATGTTGTTAAATTTAATGTTTTAAACATAACGGTCGTCTTTATCATAGGAAATGTAAAGCAACTTTATATATCAAATATAAAAACACATATTTTTTAAAGATATTATATAATGTATATCGTATTTATAATATAAATCAATTACCTCCCTTCATTCTAATAATATTAAATCAATTTATGAATTTATTTTTTTTCGTTAATGTGATGTGATTGTTAAGTGAATGATATTGTTATTAATCTTATTGCTTATATCCTGTAGTTTGTCACCTACCCGGTAGACAAACTATTGACCAAATAAGCAACCCAAACCACCAAAAAATCCAGGAAAATAAAAACAAATTTCAACATGAGAAAATCTTTTGAAAAACAGTTTCTAAAAATATGTGTCGAATTTTTATGAATTGTTGATCAAGTATCCAACTTCAATCAAAATTTTTTGGGAGTGTATTCATTCCTAAGTGAAACAGATTTTCATGGAAACATTAAATTTTTTAAAAATTAAAGAAAATGCAGCTAAAATATTATGTATCATTTTCCTTCCTATCGATAATTTTGAGTGGGTTTCTCATAAATATTTCAAATGAATTGAAATGGGTACAGAGTTGGGAAATATTTTCGCCACAGTCTTAAAACCATATAGTGTAATTACCATACAAATGAGTTGTAAAAACATCTAGTGTAATTACCATACAAATGAGTCGTAAAAACATCTAGTTTAATTATCCTGCAAATGAGATCCTGTTCTGTTTGACTGTATTATTTATTTATGGAATACTACATTTGAAAATGTCCGTTAACTTTCAAAATGGACAAAATCAAGTTACTGACAACTTTATTTGTTTACATTGAGTTTGTTTGTTCCATGAAGTTAAATCGATGATATATTCATCATACCATACATAGCTTTTATGGTTTTTTTTTTGGGTCAACGTAAAGACTTTGATATAGAATTTAATTTCTGGTTTATAAACGTATTCGTCTTTATAAAAGTTCTACCTCTTCAAAAAACAAGATTTGGAAGCGGATC